TATGTATGTATTATTCTTTTTTATCTTTTTTGAAAGAGAAATGAGAGAGAGATCCAGATTTTTTTTTTTTACATTGTGTTAGTTCGTGTACTATTTATGTTTTACGGACAAGCTTTATATTCTGAGTTTGCATTAAAGCACAAAAATTCTCTCGGAAATGTGTAATTTACAGCAAGCTAATTTGTTTAACAATTTTAAAGAGCAAAGAGACGTACAGCTGATGATCATGGTGTATTTGGGGATATTTTAGTATTTGGTTCACCTTTAACCAGTGTTAAAAAGAGATACGGGCGAAGAAAATCAAATTTCTCAGTCCTTCGATATATCAACATTAGGATCAAATTCACAGGGTTGCTTCTATTTACCCTCAAGAAGCTGAATACGCACTGTGATCACATATAAAGTGAAATGTTAAATGTTGTTTTTTTGCAGGTTATTACAGGCGAGGTCAGGAACTTGTTTACGCTCGATCCGGAGGTGCGAGTCAATCCCAGGATCTATGGCCAGATCGGAGAGAGGAAGGTATTGCTGATAAACATCGTTGCTACACATACACGCACGCACAAGCACACTCGCACGCAGATACACAAATACAGGCACACGTACTTACACGCATACACGAACTCACACGCGGGGACACACACATTAACACACACAAACACACAAAAGGCACACACAACGAACACACACACATACACACACATATACACACACACATACACACACACATACACACACACACATACACATACACATACACATACACATACACATACACATACACATACACATACACATACACACACACACACACACACACACACACACACACACACACACACACACACACAAATCTAATAACTAATCTGACAAAATTTCTGTTACAAGTAGAAAAATAGTATCAACAACTTTATAACATTATCACACGTTCGTTTTTTAATAGACAATGTACTAAACGTTCCACTAACACTTGTTCGATTCCTCTCAGTATGGCCTCGGCGCCCGCTACGAACAAGGACAGCTTCCCCGCCTGCGCATCGCCTTCGAACTCTACACGCCCTTGCCGGAGCTACATACAGTCGTCCTCGACCTCTGCGACAACACCACGTCCTCCGAGATCAAGTACGACCTCACCATGAAGTACGGCCCCACCAAGCAAGTTCGGCTCAGTCTGGAAACGGAGGTAAATCGACTCTCTGGTGCTCGTCTTTTTAGTTTATGATTTATTGTTTTATTTTTTATTTATTGTTTGTAATTTATACATTTTAAAATAATTTTATGTATTATTTTATTTCATTTGTTTATTATTGCTTTTATTTTCTTAATGATTCGATCAAAGCTAATTACGGGAAATGCGATAAATCAAATATAACAATTATGGTTTCCTTGTGACATTGCCCGTTCTTGACAAACCTCCCATGTCTTGCAGAGGAAGGGCAACGGCTTGCAGGGCCAGGCGATGGCGGTGTTGCCCCTTCAGTCGCTGGACGAACGGCTGAGCGACGCGACCCTGGAGGCGGTCGGCGCCATCTTCTGGGAACCGGCGGCCGAGCTCAACCTCACCTTCTCCTCCCAGACTGACGTCACTACCAAGGTGTGTGCGTGTGAAGGCTATGGGAAGAGGGAGGTCTCGTGGTTCAAGATATTCAGGAATTGATCGTATCAAAAAGAAAAATCATTATTCTGCATGTTTTTTTTTCTAAACCGTTGAGAACTTTTGCGACACCCCAAGATCTTAGAGCCATAATCAATTGCCTAATTTACCGAACGGGCAACACCGGTCCGGGACCTCTCAACCTTTAAATCAGCCATTAATCTTCGCCAACCACTTTCCCCAGCTCTCTGTGATCGGGAGCTTCCCTCGCGTCGACGCCGGAGAGTTGCAGGTGACGATGAACACTCCTGTAGAAGGCTACGAGAACCTGGACTTCATGTGCGAGTACCGCCTGCCGACCGTCGACGAGGAGGGCCACTTCAACGGCAGGCTCAGCACCACGAAGGGCGGCGTGTTCCAGCTGCAGGCCAGGGGCACCACGAGGGACCTCAGTGGCTCCTTCTCCTCGCCCTTCGAGCCCTTCCAGTACGGTGATGGGCGCTGGGGCGTTGACAGTTGTTTCGTTACTATAGTTTGTAAATTTGCCTTATATTAGGAGTGATGGACGGATTTTATATTTTTTCACTTGCTTTTCATCTGATTTATTTATTTTTTTCTCCTTTGCTTTCAGTTTCAGTTATTCGTTGGTGTATTCATTCGATTTATGTTTGCTTACCTACGCGCTGTTGCTTTATATATATATATATAAAAACACAAAAAATAAGTAATCCTTGACAGAACTAAATGTAGATATCAAAACTCAACTATCAAATTTATGCAAAACACAAGAAAGGATATTCAGAATCCACTTACAAAAAAAAAAAAAAAAAGCCTCATCACCATTAGCCTCCCCACCGTTCTTAGCAACACCATCCTCATCATCCCTCATCACCATCCTCACCATCCCTCACCACCATCACCATCCTCATTATCCCTCAACACCATCACCATCCTCATCATCCCTCACCATCATCACCATCCTCATTATCCCTCATCACCATCACCATCCTCATCATTACTCATCACCATCCTCACCATCCCTCATCACCATCACCACAATCAACCTCACCAAACCTCCTTCCTCCAGGACTGGCAGCTTCATGTGGAAGTTGTCTTCATCTGCGTGTAAACTTTTTGTATGCGTGTGTGCGTGCGTGTATGTATGTATGTATGTATGTATGTATGTATGTATGTATGTATGTATGTATGTATGTCTTCATCTGCGTGTAAACTTTTTGTATGCGTGTGTGCGTGCGTGTATGTATGTATGTATGTATGTATGTATGTATGTATGTATGTATGTATGTATGTATGTATGTATGTATGTATGTATGTATGTATGTATGTATGTATGTATGTATGTATGTATGTATGTATGTATGTATGTATGTATGTATGTCTTCATCTGCGTGTAAACTTTTTGTATGCGTGTGTGCGTGCGTGTATGTATGTATGTATGTATGTATGTATGTATGTATGTATGTATGTATGTATGTATGTATGTATGTATGTATGTATGTATGTATGTATGTATGTATGTATGTATGTATGTATGTATGTATGTATGTATGTATGTATGTATGTATGTATGTATGTATGTATGTATGTATGTATGTATGTATGTATGTATGTATGTATGTATGTATGTATGTATGTATGTATGTCTTCATCTGCGTGTAAACTTTTTGTATGCGTGTGTGCGTGCGTGTATGTATGTATGTATGTATGTATGTATGTCTTCATCTGCGTGTAAACTTTTTGTATGCGTGTGTGCGTGCGTGTATGTATGTATGTATGTATGTATGTATGTATGTATGTATGTATGTCTTCATCTGCGTGTAAACTTTTTGTATGCGTGTGTGCGTGCGTGTATGTATGTATGTCTTCATCTGCGTGTAAACTTTTTGTATGCGTGTGTGCGTGCGTGTATGTATGTATGTATGTATGTCTTCATCTGCGTGTAAACTTTTTGTATGCGTGTGTGCGTGCGTGTATGTATGTATGTATGTATGTATGTATGTATGTATGTATGTATGTCTTCATCTGCGTGTAAACTTTTTGTATGCGTGTGTGCGTGCGTGTATGTATGTATGTATGTATGTATGTATGTATGTATGTATGTATGTATGTATGTATGTATGTATGTATGTATGTATGTATGTATGTATGTATGTATGTATGTATGTATGTATGTATGTATGTATGTATGTATGTATGTATGTATGTATGTATGTATGTATGTATGTATGTATGTATGTATGTATGTATGTATGTATGTATGTATGTATGTATGTATGTATGTATGTATGTATGTATGTATGTATGTATGTATGTATGTATGTATGTATGTATGTATGTATGTATGTATGTATGTATGTATGTATGTATGTATGTATGTATGTATGTATGTATGTATGTATGTATGTGTGTGTGTGTGTGTGTGTGTGTGTCTTCATCTGTGTGTGTCTCTTTGTATGCGTGTGTGCGTGCGTGTATGTATGTATGTATGTCTTCATCTGCGTGTAAACTTTCTGTATGCGTGTGTGCGTGCGTACGTGCCTCCTAGCAAAGTACCCGCCTTGCCTCTACCCGCCATCCTCCCGCTCAGTTCGACGGCACGCTGGAGACGCCGTGGGAGGACCTGGAGCGCTCTACCCTTCGCCTGGAGGGGAAGGCCCAGCAAGGCGGCTACAGGAACCAGCTGGTGTTGGAGGGCGCCGGGAGGGTCTACCAGGGCACGCTCTTCCTCAAGTACCAAAGTGATGACGAGTGGGACGTCAGCGTCGAGGTGAGTGGGGATTTTTTTTCTTTCTTTGTTTATTTGATTCGTTTATCCATTTGTATTTTGGTTCTTTTTTTTGGGGGGGGGAGAGGGGGGCATATAATTTTCGTTTTAGGCATCGTTTCCTTTTCTATTTGTTTTTATTTATTTATTTGTTTGTTATTCTTCGTCTTCTTTTGTTTTCTTCTTATGTTGTTCTTTCTGTTTTTATTTTTTCTTTGGCGATATATTTGCAGTTTGACAATATTTTAGATCATCTCTCCTTTAATTCTTTTATTTCTGATGATATAAAATTAAAGTAATTTTATTACTGACAATCACACTTGCCGATCTGTAAGAGTTACTCTCTTTTTAAAAATATGTATACTTGAAATACTCAAGATCGCCCTTATTCTGTTTTGGTAACAGCAACTCCAGTACCATTGCCCTGTCTTCAAAATTCCCACTTCAAACATCATATTTCGAAATTACGCCGGTATCGCCAACTCCCAACTTCATTACTCTTATTTGAAACATTTCAGAATTCTAATTCCGCTGATATCGCCGATTCTCATATCCGTTACTCTAATTTCAAAATGTATAATTTCAAACGTCTAATTCTAGAAACCATCATCGCTAAGTTTT